TTTCTTTTTTTCTTATTGATTTCTTTTCTCTTAAAAATTATTATTATTCCCCGGTACTTGGAAAAAAATTATTATTATTATTATTATTACCATTATTATTGGTACCAGGGATCGAACTCAGAACCTTGCGCTTGTGAGGCAGGCGGCGGCACCACTGAGCTAAATCACTGGCCCAAAAAATATTATTATTGACGTATTAGGGAATTTGAACCTGAGAGCTCTTTCACTGAGTTACATCCCCAGCCCTTCATTATTTTAATTTTTATTTATTTTAAAAATTTTGAGACATGGTCTCAAATTCGAACTTTCAAACCTCCTGCCTTAGCCTCCTGAGTAGCTGGATTACTGGGTGCCCAACTTACTGACTTTCTGTTACTGGTTTGTTCCCTTTGACCCCCATAGTTACCTGTTGCGCTGGATTTTTCCCTCCATGCAATTCACGAATGAGGATATTCTAAAGTTAATGAGCGAGAAGAAAATCGTGCAGTCAAATTTGTTGTTAAAAAACTTAAATTGCTGCTGGGGATTTAGCTCAGTGGCACCGTGCCTGCCTGGCTTTGAGTCCTGGTACCAAAAAACCCCAAAAAACAAAAAACAAATTACAATATACAACTGGTATTTATTTAACCCAGGGTTATGTATTTAACCCTGAGTAATGTTTTTATGCAAGTTGAAATTGAATAACCTCTGAGATAGACTCTGGAAGAATACACACACACACACACACACACACACACACACACACACACATGGGGAGGAAACTTTTGCTGTGGGGACAGTTTTGAATCCAGTAGCTCTTGAGTGGAGCACAACAATTTTGTTGTTCTTTCTGGGTTCAGTACCCAGCACATAAAAAAAGCAAGAAAGTTTTTGATATTTGATACCGCTGCCACTAAGACCACACTTTGAGAACCACTGACAACTCTCAAATTTCCCCAGGTGACTGGGATGGGTAAGGGACATTTCTGTTTGGCTGCAGGTGTATTTCTTTGTATTTTAATTTTTGTTTTTTAAGGCAGGGTCTCACTACATGGTTCAGGCTAGACTTGAACTGACTAGGCTGGCCTCAAACTTGCATAGGCTCTCGTTTTCAGCCTCAAAAGTGCTGTGAGTTCAGATGTGCACCACCACACCTAGCTCATCTATTTTAATACTGAGCCTCATAGACTGAACTTGAGTTTATACATTTGTTTGTGGTTGTCTGGGAACACAGTACTAGTATTTAGTAGGTACTCAGTAAGTGTTCACTGGCTATGAATAGAACGGTTGCTTGGTCAGATCCATGTGGAATTTCTAGTTGCACGATTTTCTTCCATCAGGAATAACACCATTTATCTAGCATTCGGCAAACATTTCCTCACATCTGCCATGCACCAGGATGTGCTGGAACTGGGAATCATCAGAGGTGGACGAAGCATAAGTATAGAAGTACAGTATGATCTGCTAAACTGTAAGATGGAGTTAAAGGGAACCCTTCGGGGAGGCGCCACATGGGCTTCACATGGGAGGAAAGGTCAGCAAGCAGCCGAGGCTGGAGACCTCCTGCAAGCCACCTAAACTCTGTCCAGAACTGGGGAGCCTTCCCTGCAGATACAGGCAGGGGCTGGAAGCAGATCCTGAATCTCCTTGAGCTGCTTCTGGCTCATGTGCCCTGGCTCATCTGCAGTAGGGGTCAGAGGGTGGGCACAGCCTGTCACTTTGGCGCTGTCCCCATGATCCAGTGACCATCAGTCCTACCAAGGCTGGGCAGAGTTAGTCAAGCAAACCCCAGGCAGCACAGGTCAGCCCTGGCAGGTGGGCAGCTGGGGCTCCTGTCTTCTAGTCCGCACTCTGGCCTGCTTTTCTCTTGCCACTTGCTGCCCCAGCCTTTCCAGTTTTCTCTGTATTAGCCAAACCTTTTTTATTTTTCACGCTTGCTTTAAAGTGTTCAAATCCCTTAATAGCTTTTACTTTGGAAGACAGATGCCCAGCAGATAATGGCTTCAGGTGGTGGTGGTGGGACACAGGCTTTGAGTGTGGTGTGTTCCCTGAGCCCAGAATGCAGGCCCAGCCCAGAGGGCTTATGAAATGAGCAACACCACAGCTCAGCTGTCTGACGGGGGAGGGGGGGCAGATGTCTCTGAGTCTCAGTTTCCAGTCTGTAAAATGGGTATTACAATAATGGACCTCCTTGCTGGGGATTTAGCTCAGTGGTTCCGCCACCTGCCTCACAATAATGGACCTCCTATACAGGACTGTTGAAAGGCTAAGATAATGTATATTTACAAGCTCTTAGTACAATGCCTGGCCTGGCATAAGCACTCCATAGAAATCAGTACTAGAACTATTATTATTGTTTGTTTTGTTTTGTTTTTTTGGTACGGGATTGAGCTCAGGACCTTGTGCTTGTGAAGCAGGTAGTAGCACCATTGAGCTAAATCCCTGGGCCTATTTTTTTTTTTTTAAAGAACTTTGTTTTAATTGTACGTGTTTGCAGTATGTAATGATTACATTTATAGTGGGGAGTTGGTACATGTACATTCCTCATCTTAATTCTTTTTTATCCCCTTCCCCTCCTCTCCTTCCCCCCAAGCTTATTATTGCTATAATTAATCATTTTTAAGTGGCATCCTGTCCATAATGAACTGTGAGTTGTAGGATGCTGAGTCCCTGGAAGAAGGAAGGTACTAGACAAAGTTGAGTCTGTTTATCACCCATGGGCACCTTCCCTCCAGCTTCTGCATCCCCAGGCAGGTTCTCCTCTCTAGGGGGTTGCCCTGGTGACCCATGGGGAAGGAAGGCTTCCGTGGATAGATCACCTCCATCCATCCTTCCATGACGATGGGGATGCTCATGGCTTGCCTGCATACTTCTTTTTGCGGGGCGGGGGGGTACCGGGGATTGAACTTGGGACCTTGCGCTTGTGAGGCAGGTGCCGGAACCGCTGAGCTAAATCCCTGGCCCTCGAATACTTCTTCTTGATCATAGGTCAAGGTCCTGTAGGTATCCAGGTGAGTTTGGATCCAGAGCTAGAACTTATTACCCACACTCACAGCCAGCTTCCTAGGCATGGAACCTATATGGTGGAGTAGAAGCACTCTGGATTTGGTTTAATGCTGTACTATTACCTTCTTCACATTTCTGATACTTTGGAACAAGGGGCCTCATATTTTTTGCATTGAGCCCAGTAAATTATATAGCTGGTCCTGCCTACACTCTCATAGGAAAGATGTCTTTCATGCAGAGAGAACTGAGGTGCAGGGACAGGGACATGACTGACACAAGGAGACAAGGGGAAGAGCCATTGGCTGGGGGTGGGTGGGAGGAAAAGGTCTCCCACCCTCTTTCCATACTTCCTTTTCCATCCAGCCCTTCTGGTGTGGAAAGATCCAGGTACTCTGTCCCTCTTTGAGTTCAGGGGCCAGCTTTTTCTGAGAGACTGGGTAAGTCCTTGAGTCTCACTGTCTGTCTGGATGAACAGTTCTCTCTAGGTGATTCAGTTCTCTCTAGGGTGGCTTCAAGGGGCTAAAGGACATGGGTGGAGGTGGGGTCAGAGGAAGCTATGAACTGTGATACTCAGGAACCAGATGCCTGGGCTTTGGTCTATCCCTGCCTCTTGCTCTGAGACCCAGTGAGACTGACATTCTCTTACTTGGGCTGAATGGGTAGACATGAGTGCCCAAACACCTGTAGCCCACAAGCTGTGTAGAATCCCGTGTGAGATATGTGGATGTGTGAGATTGTGTGTACATGTGTTGTGGGGGAGTGGGAAGCAAATTGAGTACAGAGGACAAAACATCTGGTTGTAACTACTGTTTAATTCCATGTACACTCACTGGGCATAGTTTTGCACACCTGTAGTCGCAGCACTCGAGAGGCTGAGGCAGGAGGATCACCAAGGGTTTGAGGCAGCCTGAGCTGCATATGGAGGTCCTATCTCCAAAAAAAAAAAAAAAAAAATCCTACGTATATTGTAGATCTGGGGGAGAACAGACCCTGGGAGATATGAAGTCCTTAAGATGCTTTCAGACTAATGAACAAGACAATCACAATACATACAGTTTGTCTCCTAGTGTTCTGCTATTTACTTCTGTGGAGAAAGTCACAGTGTGAAACAGTGGGGTTATTGGTAATACCCTCTGGCAAGTGGATGTGAACTGCAAACCCATCCTGGCTGATGCCACATCAGGCCTTGGGATTTGGGAGGCGTTTGGGTTGTGGCTGGAAATGAAAGTAATGCTCCAAATAACTTACCTGCAGATGCCTGAAATTCCACGGGGGTCTTGCTCTAGGATTAAGCATTATTCCTTTTTTTTTCTGAGATGCTATTTAAAATTCAGTAGTAGTGGTGAGGATTGTTCATTGTTCATTGAATTGATTGCAGGACAAGTGCTGCGTCAAAAGATGGGGCTACCCAAGGACCCTGGGCTCCAAGGGATGTCCTGGATAGGTACTACAAGCAGAGCCCCCCTCTGCAGAAGGCGGAGCCAAAGGGAGATAAGTGGAGAGCTGAGAGCAATCAAAACCCCACCCCAGAATCCTAGCCAGCCTTGTTCTGGTCGCTGAAAAGCTGGAAGCTCCACTCAGCTCACCCGAGGGGCTCTTCAGGGCCTTCGGTGTCAATCCACCCCTCCCTTATCGATCCTTCTGGGATGGTCATACTTTTTCTCAATGACAGCTCTGTGGTTGCCCAGAAGACTTGACAAGAACTTTCAAGTATCTTAGAACACATCCAACCCACCATGGCCATCCTTTGGGGAGCCTATCCACTCTCCTACGCAGAGGCCACATTTGGCATTCTGTGGTCAGGACAAGAATGTGCAACCCAAGAGGCCTCTGGAGTGAAGCAGAGCAAGTTCCCAGTGGCAACGGGAGTACTGCCCCAGGCGTGGCCAGGCTGCCCAGCTGGTCCACATGTACAAGAATCTGCACGCTTCCTTCCTGGCTTGCTTCCTTCCTCTTAGTTCCTCCCTCTTCAACCTACCTGGGGGCAGGTAATAAAGCAGGAGGGAGATGGATGGATAGGGAGGGCGGGGAGCCACGTGGTGCCATAAAGCCCCGCTAGAGAGGGCCCGTGCAGGGAGTGTCCAGCCTACAAAAGCAAACGCTCGAGGTGGACCTGCAGCAGAAGCACCGGTGGCCAGGAATAGGCCATGTATCGTGGAGCACCAAGGCTAGGTCTCAGAGGCGTGAAGGGGGTGGAGGGCTCTGTAGAGGACTTAGGGGGCTCTTGCCCAGAGGCTGCGAGGGATTTGGGGGTACTGAGGGAGAACGGCAACCCCCGCGGGTTGGGCGAGGCAGAGGAGACAGCTGGCAGAAAGCGAGCCCGGCCGGTGCGCTCCAAAGCACGGCGCATGGCCGCCAACGTGCGGGAGCGCAAGCGCATCCTGGACTACAACGAGGCCTTCAACGCGCTGCGGAGGGCACTACGGCACGACCTGGGCGGCAAGAGGCTCTCCAAGATCGCCACGCTGCGCAGGGCCATCCATCGCATCACAGCGCTCTCGCTCGTCTTGCGCGCCAGCCCGGCCCCTCGCTGGCCCTGCGGCCACCTGGAGTGTTATGGCCAGGCCGCGCGCAGCGTGGGCTCGAGGGATCGGGGCGCCAGTCCTCCGCCTCCCGCGCAGCCGCTCGGAGGGCCCGGCCTCGCGCATCCGGACACCGCCGGCTCCTCCGTGCCGCCTGCCCTGCGCTGTGCCTCCTGCTCTACCCACCTGCACCTGGGTCGGCCCCGGGCGATGTCCGAGGCGCCAGGATCGTCCCAGGCCTCCGTGGAAAGTTGGCGCCGATGTCCCGGGGCGCTCTCAGCCGGGCCACTTCCCTGGCCACGGGGCTACCTGCGAACCGGCTCTGGGCTGGGCTACCAGCACTCCTGACCCGGTCCTCAAGCACAGGCAGACCTGGCAGGAGGATTACCAAAGGGAAGCCTGCAGAAAGCTTCCTGCAAAGAGCAAAACGGAATGGGCTGCGACCCCAGGGGAAGAGGAGGCTGCTGTGGCAACGAGAAGGGACTCTGAGGACAGCAGCCTCACCTCCACGTCCGCGAGTGGGTTGGCACCTCTGAGAAAGGGGCAGGATCTTGCTTGGCTTTTAAGTTTGAACATGTTGGACTCTTTCTGGAAAATGGCCTTTGCATTCCTGTGCCTCTGAGCTCTGCTTTCTGTAGCTGCTTGTGGACGGGGAGCTTGTGCGGGAGTGTAGGTGGGCACCTGCTGTGGCCCGATGGCAGTGTGGGGGGCCCCTTCCTCTGCCTGAGCTGCTGTCCCAAATCTCATTTGGGAGAGGCAGGTAGACGGAGCCAAATAAAAAGGAACACTGTTTTCTCTGTGTGTTACCATGACTCCACTGGGCCCAGTGGCCCAGGGTGATGGGAAAGCCTAAGGGTTGGGGTTTACCCTGGAAAGTTGGGTCAGGCTCTAAAACCCACAGATAGGTAGGTACCCGGGGCACTGGTTCATGGTGAGACCTCAGGAGTGGCTGAGCATAGAGTGGGGCTCAAGGGGAAGAGAGACATCTGGAGACCACACCCCTCCCTGTGCCCCCAGGAGTGGGAGAAGGCATTATCGCAGAGTTGATGGGGCCTGGGAGGCTAAGGACAGGGCCAGCTTCCTCTGAGGATCTCACAGGAAGCTGCTCCCTGCAGTGAGCCACAGCAGGGGCTACCATGAAAGGGGAGTTTGGTCAGGGAAGGAAGCTGAGGGCAGGGCCAAGGATTGAGGGTCCGTGACAGGCAGAGTTCCCAGGGAACAGAGGTTGGGACCTCTGTAATGAGAGTTAGAATCCGGAAAGATTACGGGGAGGGGTTGAAGGAGGAAGGTCCTCAGGCCAAAACTGGGTGGGAGTGGGAGGCACAGAACCGCCCCTTCCTGAATGCCGGAGAACGGTGCTGCATTTAAGGTGAGCCAGTGCCCGCCCTGGCTCAGGCTGACAGGGTCAGTGTTGCAGGTGCTGCTTGGTGGTCTGAGCAAGAGAGGGCTGAGGGCTTTTGGCCTTTGGAAAGCTGGGCTGATGCCTGCTGAGCAGAAAGGTTATATATAGTTAGCTCAGAAAGGGGGATGCCACAGAAGCCCTGTGGGGGCTTCCCACAAAGATGCCCATAGGCATAGACCCAGATGAGAGTGAGGGTTCCTAGGAACACTGCTAAAAATGTCTTTCCTTTGTGTAAGCCCCAACGCTTCCGGCACAGTTGGTGTCTTGTCCCAGTCACAGGGCTTAGGGTTTCCAATTTCAGTCAAGGTTGTGGCACAGACCGTAGGGAAGCTTTGCCTCTGAGTATAGCCGGGAGCAAAGTATGGGACTCCGCCCCTCCAGCCCAATAGTGCCGTGGACAGCCAGTGGAAAGGAAAAAGTCAGACCCGCCTGGGATCCAGCCCCTCCTCTGCTACTTCTTCAGCCTCTAGTTCCTCATTTCTGACCTGGATAAGGTGCCCCCTCAGAGTGGTGTGACATTAACATGGTTCATAACTTCCTGTTTCTAGCAATTACAAGATGTTTACAAATTATTACTATTTATTTGTTTACTGTTATACTCTTGGATAGACCAGCCTGGACAGTGTTTTAGGCTTTGTTTGTTTGTTTGACAGAGTCTTGCTATGTCCTGGCTGGCCTTGAACTCACTATGTAGTCCACCCTGCCAAAGCTGGCCTTGAACTTGAGGCAGTTCTCCTGGTTCAGCTGGGCTGGGATTGCAGGTGTGTGCCACCACGCTCGGCTTTAGCCTTGTTTCTTCTTCTTTCTTCTTTCATCTTTCTTTCTTTCTTCTTCTTCTTCCTCTTCCTCCTCTTCCTCCTCTCCCTCCTCTTTGTCCTCTTCCTCTTCTTCCTCCTCTTCCTCTTCTTCCTCTTCTTTTTTTTTTGGCAGTCTTGTTTGGTTGTTTTTTGGTACCTCGGATCAAACTCGGGACCTTGCGCTTCCAGGGCAGGCAGTGGAACCACTGAGCTAAATCCCCGGCCCTAGCAGTCTTGTTTTGACCTCAGAAACTTATTCTCTGGAAATATGATAAAATGATAAGCAAGTCCTTTTTGCCTATCACTCAGCTGTACCTCCAGCCTTAGCAAGGGTGCCCCCTGCAGGTGGCAACACTTGTGCACAGACAAATCACTTCCCAGGAGGATGAGTCCCTTCCCTCTCCTAGCTCATTGATCTTGGACACATCACTTAGCTGCTTTGAACCTTGTTGTTCCCATCTGTACAATGGGCTAAAATAAGTACTTACATCATAGGCTGTTGCACAGAATAAATGAGATAATGCATCTTTTTTGTTTTTGAGACAGGGTCTTACGATGTAGTTCAAGCTGGCCTTGAACTCACTATGTAAACCCAGGGTGGCCTTGAGCTCGAGGCAATCCTCCTGCCTCAGCCCCCCGAGTGTTGGGATGACAGGCATGTCTTACCACACCTGGCTCGAGATAATGCACTTAAAGCACTTAGCATAGTGCTCAGCCTACATAAGCACTCACCGAGTGGAAGCTAAGATATACTCTATTTACAAGGGTGTATAAGGAGTTCTTTCAGGAACAGGAAGGTGTTTGTAAGCTATGGTATGTACAACACAGTTATTTTCATCGTTCTACGAGGGCTATGTATTTGAGGGCACACATCCACATATTTGCATGCTGATATGCATTTGCACTCTTAGGTTTTTGGCACATATACAGTATATGTGATTATGTGGATGTGTGGATATTTGTGTGTATATACATATAAGAATCAGTCTATATCAGACCTTCTGAGATTTCTTCCTACCCACCCTTTCTCTTCCAACATCTACCTCCCTCACCTCTCCCAGCACTGGTTACACTTAGTGTGCTCAGGATGGGGTGGGCAGAGGTGGGTGAGTTTTGGTGTGGACGCACCCTGGGCACTTAGTACTTTATTCCTTCTCTGCCTTCTGCAGCCTGCCTTAATGTGAGCCAGGGCCTGGGCTAGGTATATCTGCCCCCTTCAGGAGCTCACCACTCAGTAGGGAAAGAGGAACAAGAGAGGAATTACTTCCATCAGATCCCTCTGTCCACACCAGAGAGTGGTGAGAAGAGCCAGCTATGGATCAGAAAGATGTCCATCCTATCCACATGTCCGGCTGGGCCAGGGCTTACTATGCAGATCCTCAGGCAGGCAGGCCATGTGACCATGGAGATGACTGAGGAGTTCAGCCCCCTTCTGCAGGCTGCAGTTGGCCCAGTTCCTGTAGGAAATTGCCCATGTTTCCAAGATCTTCATGTTAAAAATCTCAAACTCAATTTTTTTTTTTTTTGGTATCGGGGATCAAAGTCGGGTCCTTCCGCTTGCGAGGCAGGCAGTGGAACTACTGAGCTAAATCCCCGGCCCTAAAATATTTCTTTTTTTCTTTTTTGGTACCGGGGATAGAACTCGGGTCCTTGCGCTTGCGCAGCAGGCAGCGAAACCACTGAGCTAAATCCCCGGCCCCATCAAACCCAATTGTTTTGTAGAATGATTTTGTATGTGTGTGTGTGGTGCTGGGAAGAAAAATCAGGGTCTCAGGCATGTGAGACAAGTGCCCTAAAATGGAGCTACATGCCCAGCCCCTTTGGAATGAACTTTAAATAAAATACGTGTTGAGACAATACTGTGCAGGCTAAATTCACTTTGTAGGATGAATCTAGTCCCTGGGTCTTCATGTATGACCCAGACGGGAACCTGCTTGGGGCAGCTGCAGACCGTGTACAGCTGGCTGGGTTGGACTCAGCAGTCTGTAGGCCACACCTTCTGCTTTTCTTCTCCCTGCCCCACTTCACCTCTGGGGCCCAACCCCAACTCTAGTCATGTGCCTGTTCCCACCAGTCCACTAGGTGGCACTGAAAACCCAGCATCTTACACTGGCAGCATAAACCTTGTGCCTAAGTGCCAGACCCCAGCCCATCTGGGCAACCTCTTGGCCCCTCATCACTCCTGGAGGCTTCTTGGCTTTTTCTTTTCTCTTTTTATCCAATGAAAAAGACCTCCTCATGTCTGGTTCATTGTCTTCTAGGCCAGTTCTGACAAATAAAAGTATAATATCCGCCACATTTTTAATTTGAAAATTTCTACTAGGCCCATTACAAAAAAGTAGCAAGAAACAGATGAAAATAATTTTAACAACATTTTATTTAGCTCAATATATCCAAATATCATTTCAACATGAAATCAACATAAAAAGTATGAATGGGGACCTGGGATTTAGCTCAGTGGTTCTGCTGCCTGCTTCGCAAGAGCAAGGTCCCGAGTTTGATCCCCGGTACCCCCCACAAAGTATGAGTGGGATATTTTACATTTTCCCCCTTTTTGGGCACTATGTCTTTGAAATCCTGTGTGTATTTTACATGTATAGCACATCCTAATTTGGACTTGCCACATTTCAAGTGCTCAGTAGCCCCATGTGGATCAAGGCTACCGACCAGGGCGAGGCAGCCATAGGCCCTGCAGAGGGTCTGAGTCTGTGCACTTGGATGCTGAGCAAAAGCCTGGCAGTCTCAGGGACACAACTTGCTACCCCTGGAAGGAGCTTTCATTCTTGAAAGACATCAACATGTTTCTGGAAATCTCTGGGCAGGGAGCCCAGATCACTCTCCTGGCCAGATTCCTGGTCTGGGCTGAGTAAGGTCCTCCCTGATGTATGGGAGAGAGAGAAGGAGAGGGAGAGGGAGGGAGAGGGGGAGGGGGAGGAGGCAGCATCCTGCTGGAAGCCTACATTTTGCAAATAACAACAGATTTTCCTTATTGAGAAAAAGTTTTAAATTTAATACAATTGAATTTACCAAATCTGAAAATTCATCCTAAAGTCCCTTACGTCTGGCCAGTTCTTGCTCTGGATTTTTATACTTCCTCCCTCTCTGGCCTGGCCTTCATTAAAACCAGCCTTCCTTCCTGCCTGCCTTTTCCCTTTCCCTTTCCCTTTCCCTTTTCCTTCTCTCTCTCTCTCTCTCTCTCTCTCTCTCTCTCTCTCTCGTGCTAGGAAAGTGCTCTACCACTGAGCTACACTCTCAGCCCTAGAAGCAGCATTATCAAAGTGAAGCCACTTTGATACGCAACCCAAATTCACTTCTTCCCATGGACATAGCTGATTTTGTTCCTCATTAGTCCCACTGACTGATATCTGACTGGGATACAGTTTGAGATGAGTGCTTCTTTCCACTGCTGGGCCTCAGTTTCTAAACTCTAGTAGCAACAGATTTGAACTCCACAACTTCTGAGGCCCTACCAGCTCCAGTTTCCCACCTCATACATGACCCTAGGATTTGAAATGACTTCATGACCCTCTAACCTCCACCACACACCCTAGTGGCTCCAGGTCACTGTTGTAAAACAGAATAAGGAGTAAGGTCAGAGATACAGAGAAAGGCAGAGAGATAATCAGAATAGGCAGCCAGACCCTAAGTCCCCTTGGAACTGGCGCCTGCCCAAGCAGCTGCTGAACAGGAGGTGTCTGCTGCTGCCCCTTGGCACCATGGAAAGGCCCCAGTGGGCATGAAATGGGTGGTCCTTCCCCAGCAGGTCCCTCCCCCAGCCTGTGGTGAGCTGTTTGGATACCCAGGCAGAGGGCTGCGCTGTATCCTCTAGGGGCCACACTGGTGTTCATCCCTCCCCCTCCCTGTGGCCCCAGCCAGGAGGTAAGCTTTGGCCTGGCAGTCTCTGGAGCTGATGGTCAAAGTCTGGGTGGGATTGTGGTAGGTCCAGGGCCCAGCGTTTCCCAAAGCGAAGAGGAAGCATGAGCCTGCTCAGTAAAAAAGAAGCAGAGGACTCAGTTTCCAAGACAATAGAAGGCACACACCTTTGTGACCCAACCTAGAGCCCCTGGCCCAGAGGAGCAGGTCCCAGTGCTGCAGTGGAAACCAGAGGCTGGTCCAGGTCCCTCTGGGCTGTGCTAAGCTGGGCCAGGCTGAGCTGGACTGGGCTGGGGCAGAGGCAGGATGCTGCTGGGATGGTTCTCAGGGGAAAGGGGAATTGAAAAGAAAAGACATCTCCAAGGAGGGCAGAGAGGGAGGGAAGCTGTGGTACACACACACACACACACACACACACACACACACACACCCCGCCTCCCTGCCTCTGCCTAAGCCTTACTCTGAGAGAAGCATCCTTCTTCTTGCTCTGAGCTTTCTGTTGCTTCCCCGCCCATCTGTGTTGTCAGCAGAGCCAGCAAAGTTGGCTTCAAACTTGAACGGACCTGAAGGCTTCATCCTCCTGGGAGCTCTGCAGGGGCAGAAGCAGCCCCCAGCCTCTGAACTCCACTGGCTTCCCGAAGCCCCCTCTGACCCTGCCAGAGGCCAGCTGGCCCTCTGTCTGCTGGGCCCCTAGTCTGGGCTGGGAATGGTGCACTGAGATCCCTCTGGAGCCCTTCACCCTAGTCTGAAGCTGGAGCAGCCTGAGGTCCAGGTCAACATGGCTAACCCCACGCATCCTCAGTTTTCCCAGGCACAGGAGCTGAGCTCCACCTTACCGCAGAACCTGCCTGAGATGGAGAAGCTCCTCACCAAGGTGGACAGCAAGGATGACAAAGCCCTGAATCTGTCCAAGTCCCTCTCTGGGGCTGTGGACTTGGAGCAGAATGGCCATAGTCTGCCCTTCAAGGTGATCTCTGAGGTGCACCGGGAGGCCTCAAGGCCTGGCTCCCCTTCCCGGGCCAGCTCAAGACGGGCATCCTCCATCGCCACCACTTCCTTTGCCCAGGACCAAGAAGCCCCCAAAGATTACCTCGTCCTTGCCATCGCCTCTTGTTTCTGCCCCATGTGGCCCCTCAACCTCATTCCCCTCATCTTTTCTATCATGGTAAGTGCTACTTTTTGTTCAGGGTCAGGGGCTTGGCCCAGGGTCAGCAGTTGTGTCCCCAGGCAGGCACCAAACAGGCTTCCCCAGTGCAAAGAGAGCCCTGGGGCTGGGTCAGGGGGTGGGGAAGACCCTTTGCTAGCTCCCAGCTTCCCCTTTGAGGGGGGGCCCAAGGGCTGAGGGCTGCTGTTTGTACTCCTCTTTCATTGCTGTTCCTGAGCATTACAGCTTGACTGTGTCTCTGTCTCTGCTGGGGAGAGGAACGTAGGGAGCTGCCTGGGGATAAATTCTGCAAGGCAGAAAATCAGTCAAGTTGGGAGTCTCGTCTTTTTTGAAAGAGTGTGGGCTTGCCTCAAAGAGCTATTGCTGAGCAGAGCTCTGTATCCACAGACTGCAGCCCTGGGTGCCCAGGAGGGGAGTCTGGCCTCCCGGGCCACCTGGTCATTCTACCAGCTTCTGCCAGCTCTGGTTTCTAAGAGCGGCGGCGGCTTCCCTGCTGTGACCAAGGGCCTGAGGTGGGGAGGATGACAGGCTGCTGGGGGTGGGGGTTCTCCCTGGAGTTTCCTGGGCCTCGTAGTTACACAGATTTCACCAACTCTCTGTAGGGTAGGAAAGGTTGGGGCATGAGTGAAAAATGTGAGCCAGAACACGCCCAGCCTTACCAAAGAGGGGCATGTGAGTTAGACCTCACTTTGACAGATTGCCCTATGCCAAGCCATTTGGGTAGAGCTACTTACAAAGGATTCCACAGAAAATGTGACTTCTGAGGTCCAGGAATGAAGGTGCGGGGGAGAGAAAGATGGCCTGGGCAATGCCTTTTAGAATGAGGTTAGGAGCAGGGGAGGCTAAACTGCTGGTCAGGGCCAGAAACCTGGGCGGGGCACCACACTCTGCTTCCCTGGAGTGGCACCACTGATGAGTCATTGATCACCAAGTCCCTAGGAGCTGTGGTCACTCTGGCTGTTCTCTGAGAAAACCTGTGTTTCTTCACACATCTCAGTCTACTTCATTAAGACCACCCAGGGAAGCTTTCCTTTGCCCCCATCAAATCTAATACCACCTGCCAGGACATTAGGACATTAGGGACACTGGCAACATCCTTGAGTGCAAGAGACAGGGCTGGGGCTGGGGCTGTAGCTCAGTGAGAGAGAGAGAGAGAGATGGGGGGGGAGATAGAGAGAGAGGGAGAGAGAGAGAGGGAGAGAGAG